TCTCAAAAAAAAAAGAGAGATTCTCTAGGAGAAGACTTTGACCTCAGAGATGGAGGTACCAGGTGCTATAGCCCAGGGAAGGGTGTGGAACAGAGGCTGTTCTTTGGGGCCCAGGTGCCCTGTGTTGGTAGAGAACATGAGGCCTGCCTGGTTTGAGAAGATCTGGGGTATCAGGAGCCCAGTATGGTATGAGAGACCCTAAGAAGAGTTGGACCAGATACTCACAAGACATCGCGCCTGACGGTCTTGATGAATATCCGGATGAAGCGCCAGCCACCAGACCCCAAGTAGAGGAGCAGTAGAGAGAACCCCACCTGGGTCCAGGGCAGTTTCAGCACCAACTTAGAGAACAGCAGTGCCCCCACCAGAGAGGCTCCGAGCAGCATTATGGCCTATAGGCACAGGGACGTCAATGGACCCTAATATCCAAGTCTCCCCAGGTCTTTTACCTCCCAGCCCAGGGTGCTAGGCCACTGGGATCCCAAAGGGTCAATCTGTGGCAAAACTTAGTCATGCTGAGTGGGGTAACTAAGAAAAGGGGTCCCTTTCCAGGCTTCTGTTCCATAGCTGGCTAGAAGGGGCAAAAGCTACAGGCATGGGACTTGAGGTGAGGAATTCCACGGGTGAGAAGCAGAAGGCTGGTGCTAGCCTGGTAGTCCCACCTCTGCATACCGCTCTCCAAGTGACTTTAGGCCTCAGTCTCCCACTCTGCAATGGGTGTGAGACATACTCTCCTGACATCATCCAGGGTAATCAAGATGGCTTGGCAATGGGCATTGACTTAATCTCTTCTAGCTCAACTCTCTGCCCAGAGATCCAGAGAGGTTCTGTGGAGGACCACGCCAAGTAACAATACTCAAAAAGGGGCAGCTCTGTCCGCAGGGTGCCCTGCTGTCCCTGCCCACAGGTGTAGGTAATGCAGTGCCTTTTCTGTTCAATAGAGGGCAACCGAGCAAATGAGTTAGAGCCCAGAGGTGCTGGAGAGAAGTGACCGCCCAGGGGGCAATGCTGATGGAGGGAAAGAAGGCCTTGAAGGAACACACCTCCCCACCACATACATATACACACAGAGTAAAACACTGAGATGAATCTTTGGGGACTGGGGCTTAGAGTAAAGGGAAAGACAGACTGCTGCAAGGGCTGGGCGCTGAGATTAGGATTTTTCTATTCCTGGAGCTTTGTGGACTTCCTCCAGGGGACAGCTGATGGTACTGTTTTTCTTGAGTTTTCCAATTCTTGGGAGGAGCTGAAGGTCATGGCGTTAAGGAGCTTGAGGGCCTCCAAGCCACGACGAGAACATGGTCTGGACCACAAAGAGACCTTACATACTATCTCTCCCTCCTCCTCGCGAAAAGCAAACGCTGGGCGTAAGGAGACTGAACCAGCTCTCCCAACCTCAATGCCAGGGTCTCCAAGATTCTCAGACCTCTGGCTCCCGGAACCCACCAGAGCAGAGGGCAGAAACTCATCCAAGACGGCTGGGCAGGGTGGCGCCGGTGGCTCAAAAAGGTAGGGTAGGGCACCAGCCACATATGCCGGAGGTGGCAAGTTCAAACCCAGGCCCGTCAGACAAAAAAAAAAAAAAAAAAAGAAGTAGCAGCAGCCTGGGCAACAGGGAGAAGAAAGGAGGGGATGCTCAGTCTCCTCGGCTCCGGGCCCGAGTCATGTGCACCGCCCTTGCCCCTAGACAGCCTAAAGAACACGGTCCGGCAGGGACGTGCCCTCCACCCCAGGCCAGCATTGCCACCTTCCTCTGATTCGGCCCGGCACACTTCCCTGCCCAGAGACCTACCAGCCCGGCTTGTGCTCACCCGGAGTCGGCTCTGCCGCGCAGCGTCCTGTCCAGATGCGGCCCGGTTGCAGCAGTGGAGTGGGGAGCGCTGGGGGCATTAGCCACCCCTGGGCGCACAGAGCTGGGTCTCAGCAGTACTTCACCGGCTCTGCGCCCTGCATGGCCTGACCGCCGGGCCAGCCCCTCCTGCCGCCCGGCCCCGCCCGCCGCGCTCCTCCCCCGCCCGCCTCCCGCAACCTAAACCGGCTTCGCCGGCCGGCAGCACCTCCCCCTGCGCCCTCCCGGGGCCGGCGAGCCGCAGAGGTGGCGGCGCAGCGAGCTCTAGCGCGCCCGACGCCGCCCGGCCCAGCCGGCTCTGCGCGTGCGACGGCCTCGGGTGGCGGCGCCGCGCGGCACGCTGGGACTTGTAGTCCTTGCTGCGCAGCCACGCCCGGCGGCGGAGACCCCAGAGTTGGGAGGAGCAGTCTTCCCTCCAGTACCCCGGGGAGAGCGTCCTGCGCATTCAATCAGGAACCGCAGCGCGCACCCAAGATGGGGCAGGATTAGCGAACTCTCAGCGCCACACCTAGAAGAGCGCTTAAAGTAAAATAAAATAAAACATAAATAAATAAACAAATAGGGTGGTGTCTGTGGCTCAAGGAGTAGGGCGCCGGCCCCATATACCGGAGGTGGTGGGTTCAAACCCGGCCCTCGCCAAAACCTGCAAAATAAATAAATAAATAAATACAAATAAACAAATAAATAGAGCTGAAAGGGCGGTCTCAGGCAGAGTGGCGAGTCCGGGTCGGGGGGCGACTTTTGGTGATCGGAACTGGTGAAAAGCGCACTGGACTTCTAGCTAGGCTTTGGCTTGCTTATTCAAAGATTGTGGGTTTGAGTCCCACCAGAGTCAAATTTTAAGGACTCCTCCCTCACTTACATTTGGCATTTTAGGTTTTCCAACACCCGTACAGGAAATAGAACTGCAGGTCGCACCCATCATTTCTTCAGTACAATAAATACACGTGGCGTTTGGAAAAACAGCTTGGTTTGCTTGCTGATATAAAGGGCGCGGATATGGAGGCCCTTGGTTAACTTCAGCCTGTAATAGCTCTGGACCTCCGCAGCAAATCAGTTAGTATAAAACCTGAGGACTTACTTATGATGCTCATACAGGATCCTCTCTTTCTAGGCCTGGACAAACAGGCCTTTACCAGACCACATTCTCTGAATTCACGCAGAGTCAGAGAAAAACAACCTGATCATTATCTTATCTGGGCAGTTCCTACAGTAGTGAAAACAATGCACTTTGTTGCCTCACCTGGGGTAGAGACTATAAGGACTGAATTCATTTGCTAAATACATTCATTTGCTAATTGTTTTCTATCTACCTGACCCTGGCCTATTGTGAATAGTTCAGAGAATGCTTTCCCCAGACCTCCATGCTCACAGGCAGTGTGTGAGCCCCTAGACCAGTGATTCTCAACTGGTGTGCCTAAGAGGATCTTAGGTATGCCACAAAAATTTTAAAGATTATTATTA